CCTGGCCTTTTTGTTTCCTTCTTAGAAAACAAAAGTTGCCTCTTAAAACAGTGTACGTTGTACATGACTCTAGAGAAATGAATCTAACAAAAAAGTAACAAATTTTACTGGATAATGTTGAGACTGATCTGAAAGTGGATTTTAAAAGGACTGGCTACAATAATGATGTGGAAAAAGATGGTACGCTGAATGTACAAATGAAACCAACTGATGTCTTCATAATTAAATGAGATGCACAAATAACAAATCTTTTCATATTAACAAGAGTGATGTGGATAACTTACCTATTTGGGGTTAAAAAGAACTTATTAAAGATCTGAAGAATGTTGTGCAAAGGAACTAAAGGAGTCAAAAGAAATTCTAGGACATTATGTGAAGGGATTAAAATTCAAAATTATTAAAAATAAAAGGAAGGAATATCAAGCTGGTTTATTTAATCAAAGTTAAAATAGGTATATTGTTATCTCTGGTAACTCTTAATGGATTTTACTGACGAGACCTGAACAATGAGGCTTTAAGGCATGTTTACAGATAAGAAATTGAATATAGGGAGAAGAGATCATTTGTTGTATTTTATGAGGTGATAAGTTACTAAAATTGTTCATACTTGTGATGAAGGGGGAGATAATTTCTTTAAATATTTTTCATTTTCTTTACTGCATTATTTTCCTTTTCTTTTTGTTTCTTATTTTCTGCACTTTCTTTTTACTTCTTTTTCTTAGTTTGCATTATTTTAATCCTTTTTAAATGTAATGTTTAATAAAATTAAATTGCTTCCCCAAATTTCTGATCTTTTTATTATTGTAATTCAGTGAAGGGAAACAGGCAGCTACCACCAATTTAGGAATCCTTACTGTCATACATACAACAATCTGGATGCCACTAAGTTATGCTTTTTCACAAACATTTTGTAATCTTTTTTCATAAATAAATTATATTTTCATGCCTCTACTTACCAATTCTACTCCAATGTGATTCCAACTTTATTCAAATCAATCACATCCTTTTCCTTTATCTTAGTTTTCATAAGCACACAACATGTTACTTCTTTCATCAATTTGGTTTCTTTTTTATTAATTCTTATTTTTTTTCATATGTTCTTTTCACATTTCAAGTTCATAATCTTCCATATGCCATGGTTATCAAGATATTGACTTGCACCCATTCATCATGACTCTGATCAACTACTCCATGCTTCTGTGGGTATATATGGTTAAACTAGTTTGAACTGTATTTTATTTTTCTGCGCGTATGATTCATTTAATTTCTTTTTCGTATTGCATCTCATTCCTTTTCTGTACTCAGCATATCACTGGTTCCCCTAAAAGGGAACAGCGCGCTAAGTATGTATGTTGCACTTAATCATTTGACTGAATGTCTGAAAGACAAGGTATAAGATTTCAGACTAAATATATCTGGTTCAGATTTTATTATGCAGTTTATTCATCACAAGAGTATTAAACACAGAAGGTATGCAAGCTTCGGTAATAGTTTAATTTCAGGGAGAGAAAGCACAGCTATGAATCCTTTTAGTATTTGCCCAACCAATCATTTCTGAGAAGAGAGAGCAAGAGGTTTTATTTTAGCTGAGCAACTCCTCAGATTCTGGTCCTGGAATGGTAACAGGATAAACTACAAAAAGCTTTTTTTAAAAAAGGAGAAACAGCAATGCTATCAAAAGATGCTACTAAAACCTTAATTGACTTGTAGATTGTAAGTACCAGAATCACATGTTTCCAGCAACATTACATTTCATCACAAAAAGACACACTTGCTATGGAGATGAATGTTGGAGATGATCTGTACTGTCTATAAGCAATCTGAGAATGTCCTGCATTGCTTGGGATAGAAAATAATTCCCTCCAGATTATGCCTCTGCTGCACAGAGAATAGCATTATCACCAAAATTAGATCCTCTCAAATGCTGACAACCTACATCCTGAAAGCACTGGGTCTAGAGTTAGTCCAAAAGATGACACTAACTTGCAACTTTCAATGTAGCTGATGGGTCATTTAATTTTTTTCACATGGCAGAGTGGCCACCTCATATTTCATATGGCCTCTTCTCAGTTAGCTCCTTCTCTCTGGAATTGACTCTCCCTTGAACTACATTTGGAATCTGATTTCACAAAGTTAAAAAGGATCCTTTTTTTTTTCACAAAGAAGCTCGAAGAATCGGACTTTTCAGTTGCAGCACTCAACAAATAATTTAGATTATTGTAGAAATGACGTTCATTGAGCTGACTGCTTTATTTATGTATACACATTTCCTATACTGTTATTGTAGTTCTTATCTTATTGTGGCAATTGGGGCTGGAATTGCTGTTGCTCCATGACATGGTTGTTAAATATGAATATCATATGATCGTGTTGTTAGCAATGGCAAATTCCAGCAGTCCAGATTGCTGTCATTAAGCAAGGACTGCATGCATTGTTAAGTGAGGACCTCACATGACTATGATGTCTGACTTCCCGCCGGCTTCCCCATTGACTTTGCTTGTAGGAAGCCAATAGGGAACAATGGAAATCACAAAAGTTGTCAATAAAGCTGCAACGTTGACATGGGTGTATGGGAAGACAGGAGAAGTACAGAGGAGATATGTCTTAAATATCTTAAGCCACCAGCAAACAGAGTAAAACAGTGTTTTACTCTGTAAAGAAAGCGTTTTTACTTCAGAAGCAGTGGACGGTCCAAAAGAGAGGAGAATAAGTGTAGAGGCCCAGCAAGACAAAGTACAATGTAAAAAAAGATGCAAGAACTCAACATGCTGGCCACTAAGGGAAACAGAAGAAATATCAGAGAGAGAGGACTTAGCAGAACAGGCTGAAGAAAGAAATGTTGATGCATAGTAGTAATAGTATAAAGCTTAGTATATAGGTAATTGTACCAGAATAATACCGGTAGGTACTATAGTAATAGGTAATATTAATAGAATACATTGACTAATAATCTATATATATAAACGCAAAAACCACTCACGCTGTAGTCACAAAAACTCCACAACCATAAAGCCTACAAACTTGAAATTTGCCATGTATGTTCCTCTTGGCTTCTAGGTGCTCACTAAGAAAGGATTTTTCGAAATGACCATCAGACCATTAGTATTTCCTATATTATGATTAACATGCTCTGATGCTAAGGAGTTCTATTCCCCCTCCCCACCTGAAAAGAAATCTGTTCCAAATGCAAAACACAAGCAGAGGAGAGGGGTTTCACTTTCAGTTTTACTTTCACAGCAGGAAGCAGCTTTAATAGAGAACACTTGAGCTAAGCCACAGCCAGGCTCCTTCCTGTCTCCTTCTTGCTCACACAGCAAATATTGTTTCACTTTGCAAACACCCCTCCCTCAACTCTCTCACACACTGACAGGACGCAAGCCAGATGAATACCGATGGATGTTGGTAGGCAGAGGCAGCATTTTTTTCTCCTTATTTTCCTCCTCAGTTCAGACGAATCTGTTCCTTCTACTGTAACACCAGTTAAAGGGAAAAGAGGCAAAAAACGCAGAAAAAGATTTACAGATGCGATTAGGAAAATACAAGTAAGGGAAGCTGCACACAAGTATCGTCAAATTTATCCCCAAGTCAGTAGACAGGCTGTAAAAAAGTATACATCTAATAACCCCCAAACATCCATGGTTGCTGCTGGGATTAAAGGGCTTTAAAAACCCATCTATTTTATTGTTGTTACACTTACAATAATGTCTTCATCTGTAACAGAAATTTAGCTTACCATCTCTAATGAAATAATACAGTCACTTTTTAAACTACTCATTAATTTTCAAGCTTTAATTGTCAATTTATCAAGCCCCATCACATAGTTTCGTAGCGAAGCCTGGGCGTCCAGCTAGTAGTATATAATGCAAACTTCAGAGTAATAGTAATTTAAGAGAATATAGAGTAATAGCAATTGTCATAGTAATAGAACAGTGATAGCAATAGAAAAGAATATAGGAATCACACATATATCACTTTGGTATGTTTGTTTTTACACCCCTCACCCCAGAACTCCAATCCTCACAGGAGTTATAAAGAAACCATCTGTCCAGAATCCAGGGCTTTTGTGTCTCTCTCTGTCTCTGTCTCTGTCTCTGTCTCTCTCTCTCTCCTGGGTTAATTCAATTGGGCATGGTTTAAAAAAAGGGACTTGTGACAGGGACCCTGCGACACGACCGTGAGCAGGCTGTGACGGCCAGAACTATGAGGACCCACATTCAGCAATGTTGCAACTTTGAATAGTCACTGAATGAATAGCCATAACTCAAAGAATACCTACACTTCATTTAGATATAAACACATACCAACCCTCCCACCTAAAAACAGCAAATGTTTACTATGTTTTTACTTGGATTTCGGACACTTTCTAGAAAAGTTCATTCATCTTAAGGTTTATAAGGTAAAATAAAAATATACTATATAGGTCTCAAAATGAGATTAATAAAGTTCTTGTTTCAAGATGATGAGACTTCATGACATTAATTAGCTAATTTTTAGAAGACACCAGGGGGCTATACAGAATGGTTTGGGAGTTGCACGTGGCCCTATATGGCCTCAGTTTATGCATGCATTCTTGGTTTATTAATTCAAATGTTCACAACACATGCATTCCTGGTTTATTAATTTAAAATATTTGCAGAATAATGTTTGCAAAAATGTTTACAAACTTATCTTTGAACAGTAAGATAAAACAGCAATTTATTCCTGTCGTAAGGGAGTGACCCATTCCTGTTTAATGTGCTCAATCTCACCTTTTCTTTGAATAATATATGCAACTCTATCTTCTTTAAAAAAAAGAGGAGAGGAGAGTATAATTTTTCTTATGCAACAGATATCATTATCCCCAGTACTCTTCAATTATTAGTAGCAGATCATTCGTCTGTCATTGGACAAAAGATGTAATAAGAACACGGTCCAAACTCTACTTTCTCTCAATATTAGCATGTTTTCTAACATGTGTATATGTGTATGAGTGAATGCATTGATTAGTGGGGTCACAATACCTTAAAATCTGGTAAAAATCAGGTTGATATATCAATTGATCATCATCTGCCTGGATTGTGGAAGTTTCCTTTTACAGCTGATTAAATCTGCAATGGAATACATAATCAAATCACTATTACAGTAATAAGATTTTGCCCTTAGCAAAATAATGCAGGTTGTACAATACTAATAAATCTCCAGCTTATTAGAACCCAACTGCTTAAACTTAACCATCATAAAGCTTTTTTATTTGCAAAGTAAGTTCAAATTATATGAAAAGTGTATTCGAATCATATGTAGGGAGAACAGAATGTATTTAGGATCTTGTTAAAGACAATAATAATAATAATATTCTTGAGCCCCTGCTGTTAAAATACTACTACTAACAAACCTTGCCCAAGTTCATATTATTATTTTCTTGGCATCGATAACAGAATGTCAGCAAACTCCCAACAGAGCAGCATCTGGGGGAACAGGCAAGAGGGGTTCAGAATGATGAAAAGGACATCACAATGCAAGCTTTATCCCTTGAGATGCCACATGCATGTCCAAAAGGGGCAGAACCTGTGCCACCATACCACCTTGTTGCTTTTCAACATTCAAAGCGGACAGATCTTGAAAAACCTACCGGCTCAACGTACAGTAAAAGCAATGTGAAACATTTTAAGTTATACTAATAGCTTGATATCAACAACAATCTTGGTGCTTTGGGAATGAGCCACCTATAGAGCAAACTCAAAAGCATAGATTCTGAGCAATCACTCACTATTTGATTTCTCCATCTGATATATTTTTTCTCTTTGTAATTGTAAACACAGATATACAAGCTTCTTACTTCTGTCCTAAATAGTCAATGACAGTTTATTTATTTAGAAAATGGATACAGCTATTCTGCTAAGCAAATAACTCTTGGTGGTTCACAATTAAAAAAAGATAAAAAATAACATACAGATTCAAAAAATATAGTAAATGCAAAATTCAAAAGCCGACCTAATCTTCAGTCACAAATTCATCAAATCAGGTTCCACTAACAACCTGATACTTAAGCCTATGGGAAAAAACATTTTTTAACAGACACATTATTGTCAGTAGCAGATTCGTCTCCATCAATATAAATTTTCTCTTAACTTCCAGATAACATTAAAACACAGACAGAAATGTTAATTCCATAATTTAAATGCCCACATTGCAGTTTGGCTTCTTAATTAAACTATCTGAATATAAATATCCAAACTGCAAAAAATGCACATAGGAATATTATGCAGTGATTTTATTAAAAAATTCCTTAATTTATTAAATTTCCAAAAAGTAATTGAATGCTTATATAATCTAATATTCCACATTATCTGTATTTTAGAAAAGCTCTTTAAGTTCCATAACAAACTGTGTACAGAAAAATTGAAGTTAAAATTTAGATTTATTAACTAAATTTTGCTTAATTAGATAAACTGTCAAGCTCATTTTTTTCAGTTCAGAAATTATTAGAGTTAATAGTGTGAAAAGCCTTCATAAAAGACATAAGAAAACCGGCTATTAAAAATAAAGGTGTACACAAGAAAAGGTTACTATTTCACATCTCAAGATAGACTGCCAAAAGCATAAGTTGAATAAAATGTAAAATACATCTGCACACAACCAACAGGAGGAGCTAATGTTTACAAAGCACATGGATTTTACAAATCTACAAAGTCTATTGTTAAAACAAAACACAGAAGATGGGGCTTTTCATTTATTCATAAATATTTCTTAACAGTTCCCTAATGCTTCACTATTATGAAGCGTTTATATTTAACTGTTCAATATTAATTTACTATCCCCCCCCCAAAAAACCCAAACAAACAAACAAAAGGAAAATACAATTTCAGTGTTAGTAATTTAGGTGCCACAGCACTAACCTTAAAAAAGAGACTTGTTCATTTACAGGTACAATGTCACATCGCTTTGCACAATGTAAACAAAAGACAGTGGCATGCACCCCAGGCTAAGGATGTCAGCATTTTTCAAACACCTTTCTGGCTGTTGCATTTTATAGTGATGCAATTTGACCTACATTTCAGTGGCCAAAGACAGAGGGAGATAGAGAAAAGGAGATAGAAAAGACAGTAGCGGTGGTGTTGGTGGTGGTAGCTGTGGTAGGAAGGTGTATGCGAGACACACACACACAGAGTGAGAGACAGACACATTGATAGTGGGGAAGAGACTGAAATTGTTTATCCACCAATCCACTAACTGGGGTTTTAACTGATGCTACAAAGGATATAGAGTGGGAGCAGAAATCTTTTTTAAAAGTTTCAATGATAAAAAAATGTTCTATTTACATAATGTCACAAATATAACACTACAGAAAGTGGAAAGCATAAAATAAGGTCAGGGTATTTGATTTGGGGACAAAAGTTAATACCATCACTAAACAAAGGAGAAGAATCCTAGAATAAATATTGTAATATGGAGTTCTTATCAATCTTTCATATATGTTATCATTAATACATTGCATAATTCAAATCTTATTTATTTACTGAAGGATATTTTTTTGCTTGCATAGAAACATGTTCATGTTTCTACACCTGCTATAAAGGCCATTTATAGTGGATTTTCTTACAGTATCTTCCCAAAGGAAGCTGTTTAGCAAATTGAGCTCAAACATATTGTAGTTCAAGAGAGCTATTGGCGTCCCCAACTTTGTGGGACAATAATCTTCACGTACAGTAAAAGAACTGTAAGGATCTGTCTTGGGTTTTCCTTTGCCTATCCTATTGGCTATGGAATATGATAAAGCAAAACCTGTAAATAAACCAAGGATAATGGAAATAGAGCCAGTTAGATCTGAGCAGTGCTTCAAACTTCTTCAGTTAAGAAAGACTTCAGTATGTTATCTCCTCCTTTCTAATTTCCAACAATTGGAAATCCCAAGCCACAAGGCTTTTACTTTGGCTCAGTGCCCTCCCTTTTGCTGTTCTTGAAGGCAGATATATGACACGCCCTTTGGCAGACAGAGTGCCCATGTGCTACCAATCATGTCTTCCTCTTTCACCCATTTTACAGAGGTGATTGTTATGATCATTTAGACTTCAATTCCTGCATGGGTGTCATGGCCATACAAGCCATTGCTACATGTATTGGCTACTTTTAGATGAGAACCTTGCCATTAAGAACAGATAATTCTCAACTTGCAACCACAATTGAGCCCAAAATTTCGGTTGCTAAGTGAGATATTTGTTAAGTGAGTTTTGCCCCATTTTACGGCCTTGCTTGCCACAGTTGTTAAGTGAATCACCGCAGATGTTAAGTTAGTAACACAGTTAAGTGAATCTGGCTTCCCCGTTGACTTTGTTTGTCAGGAGGTCACAAAAGGTGATCACATGACCCCGGGACCCTGCAAACATCATAAACATGAGTCAGTTGCCAAGCATCTGAATTTTGATCACGTGACTATGGGGATGCTGCAATGGTTGTATGTGTGAAAAATGGTCATAAGTCACTTTTTCTCAGTGCTGTTGTAATTGAACGGTCATTAAATGAATGGTTGTAAATTGAGGACTACCTGTACACTGCTGAAAAAATCTGTGCAGCGGAGTAAATAGAACTCAGTAGATTCTGACAGACTCTATTTCTGGCCCAGACAGAGCAATATTTACATCCATGCACCGTGTAGTTAATTCTATATTAGCTTCAGCATCTTGATAGCATCTTAGGCTTCACAGCCCTGCATATTTATTTAGGCTTGGGATGGCATTATATATGCATATATGCATGTATGACCATCATACTGGTGTGTCTGTACCAAGGCTCATAAACATTTTAAGCAGTATAAACTGAAACAGCTGTTTTTATCTCCCAAACCTTTTAGCTCTAAATTTTAACTTCTAAATATTAATCTCCATTTTCTAATCAGATAACTCTTAGTGTTTATTACTTAGCCCTTCCTCAAGGTTTAGAAATAACTGCTAAAGACCATTTTATGGCTCAGAGTTTCATGTGTTGTTTTTAGTTTTGTACTTTTCTATACTGTTTAGTTTTACATTGTTCACTTTTAGTGCTCATGTTTCGGGTAAACTCTGGACTATCTTCCCCTACTACAATTTTTTTTCAAGGTTTATTGGGTTTTTATTTTTAAACATATATCAAACATATATTTTAAACATATATTCAATATTTCAGTGTTCCATTCTAATGTCAATGATCTTGAACATACATCTTTCAACCTCTCAATTTTCCATCTAATTATTACTTATTTTTGATTTATATAGAAATTATAACTACTAATATTCCCCCTAATTTCTACCTCTATTCTGTAACACATATTTATGTTAATATATAGTCCTTCACATAAAGGTGTATATTCTTATTTCTACCTCTATTTCTAGTTTTTAATTAGACCATCATATTAGAAAAAAGAAGAAAGGGGGGGAGGAAAAAATTTATTCTATCCATCATCCCTTGCCTCATACTTTCTTACCTCATAAGAATTGAATACTTCAATTCTTACTTGTTTTTTGGCTTTCCTTCCATACTCCTCTCTGGGATCTTTGTCTGTCAACATCTGTATCTTCATTATTCCATCTAAATATTTCTCCTATCTCTATCCTCCTAAGCTGCCATATCTCCAGAGTATCCATCCATAGTCCTATCTCCCTTTCAAACTATCTCCCTTCCAGATTATCCAATTACAATTCCTTTTTATATTTCTCAAGTTTTTCTCATCCTTTTGTTTTATTTGGTAATTTGTCTGTTTCATCTTTTCCTCTATTCTTTCCACCGCTTTCTCTCTTTCCTGGACTCTTTGATCTTCATTCATTGCCAGTTGTATCATAGTTTCTACTTTGTCACTTATGCCTTGGATTAAATCTTTTATCTCTGTTTGGTTCTTTGCCATGATATCCCTGATGCTTTGAAACATCCACATCATTTCTCTTGAAATCTCACTCATTTCCCCCTGAAAAGGCATCTTGTTTTAGTTTAATAAGTCCACTTTTAGTCAGGGCCACAAATGAAATATTCAGTTTTGCTCATCAAAGAGTTCAATAATCATAGCTCTTTACATCTCAGGGTTATTAATGAATTCCATTTAAATAGTCCAGACAGTTTCCACACAACAAAAGTCACTTTA